GGGAAGCTGGTGCGCCCCAGGCAGCCAACACTAAGGAGGAGGAGGAGGAGGCCGGGCCATTGAGTGACAGGACAGAGCAGGGTCCCACCTCAGGCAGCAGCCTCCCAAGCGGCATCAGCAGGCACAGGGCTCTCCTCAGGCTGGCAGCCAGACAGTGTGTGGGGGGGTGTCTGGCCAGCCCCCCCCGGGGGGGTTGTGAATGGGGAAGAAGAAGGCGCAGAGGCTTCCTCAGGCCGGGCTGGCAGGGAACGGGAACGGAGGGAGCAGGGCCTTGCTTGGGGTCCCCCCCCCCCCCCCGCCTTCCAGGCACTGGAAAGGGTCAGAGGATGAGCGGGAGAACCTGACAGACATGAATGGGAGTCTGGAAACAGTTTCCAGACAAAGCCCCCCCGGTGTGCCCGGCCTCTCCCTGGGCCGCTCACCCGTGGAGGGAGAGAGAGAGAGACGCGTGGCCTTTGCCCGCCAGGCAGAGGGGGAGGGCAGCACCCACCGGGCACCGTCCCTCCGCTCATGACTGGCCAGGGCTGCTGTGGGGGCAGGCGGCCGGCTGGACCTCACTGGCTTTGCGGCCTTCTCTTTTCCTCGCAAGGAAAGGCATCCGGGCCTTTTGGAACGCTCTTGCAGACACACGGGCACGCACACGCACAGGCATGATGGGGTCCTAAAATCTGGAGCAGACGGGGGTGGGGGATTTCATAGGGCACGGCGAAACCATAGAGGAGGGGGTGCCAGATGGGCAGAAGGAAGTCCTCTGCGTGCTTCTGCATAAGATGTGGGCACGGCCGCTGGCCTTGGACAGCTTTCAGAGCTGGGGGGGGCAGTCCATGGAGGCGGAGGGAGGGTTGTCGCAACTCGGAACAGAGCCCCCCTCCCCCGCTGCTTTTCTCCCCATTGCCGCTCCCAAGGCAGCCCACCAAAGTTTATACAAAAGTTAGGTCAGTACCAAAACCCACTAGACTTGGGAACCAGGGTGGATTTGAACGGCCCCTCTGCCTTCCTGTGAGGCTGACAAACGTCCGCTGAGGCAGCAGGCAGGCCGAGAGGTCTGGCACCGGGGTGCTGGCCCCCACCCTCACGGGGAGCTTGCACCAGCACCCCCGCCTCCAAGACCAACTCCATGGGCTCATCTTGACCAGGAAAGCCAGGCGGTCTGAGACTTGGATACCGTGGGCCCTTTGGAAAGCATTTGTGGTTCTTTAACATTCCCTTGGTCAGGTGCATGGGGGCAAGGCGAGGGTGCATGCACGCACACACACCCTTGTGCCTTTTCATATGGAGAACCACAATCTGCTTGCACAGTTAGGGCTCTTTTGGGGTCCGGCAGAGGCTAAGGAATAGGGCGGGGGGGAGGCTTTGGGTCTAATCCAGCATGGAGGCGCTGCGGTGGTGGCATGGTAGCAGGGCTTGCTTCTGGCGGGCTGGACTGGGGGCATGCGCTGCTGGCTGACCGGGGGGTGTGGGGGAGTGGGCCTGGCCCGGGGAGGGGGCTCCTTCACCCTTCTCTTCTGTTTTCCAGGCCAGTCTCCAGGGCTCGGCCCAAACATAGGCGCAGGGAGGACTTTAGGGGCGCCAAGAGGTAACGTGGGCAGGGCTGCGGCTGTGGCTCCTCCTCCCCCGGGAGGGGCGCCAGCCTGGAGGATCCAGAGGCCGCGTGCAGAGGCATCCGAGGGGCTGCTTTGCGAGGGAGGAGAGGAAGCATTGGCGTGCATTGGCACACATGCACGCACCCCTTCGCCTCCCGCAGCCGTGGGTCTGGGAGAGAGCAGAGAGCGGAGAGCAGAGAGGGCAGTCCCAGGACATCCCCTGACTCCCTCCGGACTTGTTGTCGCTGGGGGGGGGGCAGCAGCAAAGGCTGGTGCTGAGCGGTCCTCTGGGCTGAGAGGCGGCACGCTGGCCCTTCCGCCACGGAAACGTCTCCGCGATCAGTAGTGCGAATGCCACCCCTCCGCCCAAAGGGCAGCTGGGAGGCAGCGCCCCCCTTCCCTGCCACCCTTCCTGCCGGACCCTCTGCTGACCGGCCCCACTCCTTGCAGGCTCTACGCACAGCGACACCCGCTCCACTACCGGCTGCACTCGGTCTCCTGCCTGGGGAGTGAGGTCCACCTCTCTCTCTGCTCCTTCGAGTTCTACAGAAGGAACGCCACCGGGACCTGCAAGGGCGGGATGCCCGCAGTGGTGGGCTGTGTCCCCGGCCCCCTCTTTGCGGCAGGCAGCCCCCAGAAGAAGAAGCAGCAGCAGCGGCAGCAGAAGCAGCAGGGGCAGGTGAGCCCCTCCCAGCCTGGGGGTGGGCTCCAGGGTTCCCTCTAAGCTGAGTTGGCGTGAGCCGGCTCACAGTTTTTTAGCCCCCAGCTCACACATTCCTGTCTTGGCTCGGGAAGGAGGGCTCCAGAGCAAACTGATTTATGCAGGAGCCAAGTGGCTGGCTCACCACTTTAATGCCGGCAGCTCACACAGTAGGATTTTTGCTCGCAAGACTCGGGCTCCAGGGTTCCCTCTAAGCTGAGTTGGCGTGAGCCGGCTCACAGTTTTTTAGCCCCCAGCTCACACATTCCTGTCTTGGCTCGGGAAGGAGGGCTCCAGAGCAAACTGATTTATGCAGGAGCCAAGTGGCTGGCTCACCACTTTAATGCCGGCAGCTCACACAGTAGGATTTTTGCTCGCAAGACTCCACAGCTCAGAGGGAGCCTTGGACTATGCCCGTGGCCCCAGGATGCCCCCCCCCCGCTGCAGCCTCCCTTCGTCCCCCCGGCCCGCTCTGAGCCTCCTGGTGTCCCCCACAGAAGCGCATCCGGCTGAAGGGCGGGGCCAGGGCCGGCGAAGGGCGGGTGGAGGTGCTCAAGAACAACGAGTGGGGCACCGTCTGCGACGACCGCTGGAACCTGATGTCGGCCAGCGTGGTTTGCCGGGAGCTGGGCTTTGGCAGTGCCAAGGAGGCCCTGACGGGGGCACGCATGGGCCAAGGTGAGTCTGGCTGGCACATGCCACTACTCTGGGCCAAGGTGGGAGTTGGAAACCCCTACCCCCCCTCCCTCCTGTCAGTTTTCAGACTCCGTCTGAAGGAGTCGTCGGGTCAGCTCCAACCCACCCACCAATGGCAAGCCGGGCAGCTGCTTTGCCCTCACTCGAGGGGAGGGGCCCTGGGGGCACAGGGGAAAGAGCATCTGCATCGCGTCCAGCAGAAGGCCCCGGGTCCGTTCCGCGGACGGGAAAGGCCTTTCTCTGCCTGAGCCCCGGGAGGGCCACGGCCAGTCTGAGAAGTGAAGACTGACCTGGAAGGGGGGGGGGAGGTCTGGCTCAGGAGAAGAAGGCCGCTCTGTGTGTGTGTGTGTGTGTGTGTGAGACTGTGTGTGTGTGTGTGAGAGAGAGAACCCCCACTGGACCGGGAGCGACTGGGCGTGCTAGAGCCCTCCAGCCAGGGCAAAACAAGCCCCGTGGCTTGGCAGCCGTGCAGGTGTGGGGCTTCTCGGGACGCTCTGCCCTCCTTCCCCTCTCTGTGGCAGGCATGGGCCCCATCCACATGAACGAGGTGCAGTGCGCGGGCTCCGAGAAGTCGCTGTGGGGCTGCCCACACAAGAACATCACCGAGGAGGGCTGCAAACACTCCGAGGATGCCGGCGTCCGCTGCAACGTCCCCTACATGGGCTACGAGACCACGGTTAGCCGGGCCGCCCACAACCCCGGGCAGGGGGCCCTGCCTCCCCCCACCCCCACCCCCTTTCCTGCTCTCTGGCCTGCTGCAGCCCTCTCAGCCCAGGGGGGGCTGTCTCCCCCCCCCTCCGGTGGGCCCAGCACCCGGGCGGCCGCTCCTGCTCTGTTGCTCCCCACTGGGCCGGGGGTGGCTCCTGCTTGGTGATGAGGGAGGGAGCCCTCCCACCGCAAAGAAGCCCCCCACAGACCTGTCACTGCCACCATCACCCTTCCCCAAGAGCTCCCCCTGCCCCCTGTGCGGGGAAGAAGAGGTGGGGGGCTGCCTGAGGGCAGGAGAGGCAGCAAGAAGGCCCAGCTGAGTCTCCTGCTGCTGCTGCTGCTGCTTGTGGGTCTCGGGTGGAGCCCCCCCCCGCTTCCTCCCACCCTCCAAGCAAGGGTGAAAGCACGTGGGCGGGGGGAGAAGACAGAGTGGGCCAAGTCCTGGCCTGGGTCAGGTGTGCCTTCGCCTGTGGAAGGAGTTGGCTCCCAGGGGGTCTGGCCTGGACCCACACGTCCCACAGAACTGCCCCTCCCCCCGAGACCCAAGCGCCTGGCCCTGTGGAGGAACGGGAGTTAGGGCCGGCTTGTGTGGCTCTGCCGCCCCTGCTCAGGCTGCTGCTCTGGGGCACTGGGGAAGGGGGCTTCCGCGTGGTGGGTTTCCCTGCTCCAGACCCCCAACTGTGGCTCCCCCACGTCCCTCTGGGGCCTTTCCAGGGTTTCTCTTTAAATCAGCGGCCGAGGAGCACGCTAGCGCCACAGCTAGGGCTGTCTGTGTATCAGGACCTCTGCATTCCCAGTTTTCCTTTAAAACAGCACACCCTCTCTAGCCAGCCTCTTCGGTTGTGGAGACGTAAACGGGAAGGCACACCCCTGCCACACAGAGGACTGGAGACTTGCGTTTTGGGGGAAAAAGGAAAACTGGGAATTCTGAGAGCCGGGTTTGCAGATCAACATAGTACTGCAATGTTAAGTTGCTGACGGGGGGGGGGGGGCCCCCCCCCCCAGCGGGGGGGGGGGCCCCGCCGCCGGCCGGGG